GTTAACCAGTGTCATAAAACAACATGTGTACTACTGTTTCATGAGAAACTATTTGTTCTGTAAGCCTTCACCTGAAGTACGATAAAAAAAAAAAATTGTGTTCCAGCAAAATATAACCTTCAATAAAGTAGTTTCAAATTTGAAAAAAAAAAAAAGAGATGCTGAGAGGGTGCAGCATTGAGCTATAGAAGATTCTTGCAGAAAGGAAAGATAACCTAAAGCAAGCCAGTAAAGAATGTTTCTGTCATTCCTATTAAATGCTATAGCGTAATAAAAGGACCCAGGATCACAAAAGTTGTATAGCCCATAAGAGTTGATCCTCTGTCTGCTCCCTTCTCATATCTTGAAGGTTTCTTGGAAGGAGTTTCACAAAAGATGAAAATAATGTCTTAGCAGAGAGGGTAGAAAGATGGAAATTCTGGATTTAAGTACCACCGTCATGGCATTCTCCTACTCATGTCTTGAGTTTATTTAGACATTGGTTTTCCCATCTTCTTTGAGCAGCCCAAAGAAGGAATTGAGACTACTGTGAAATACATAGTAAACCAGCTGTTCTCAACATAATCTAGAGAAGTATGCTAAAATGTTGTTTCTAGTTTCCTACAGGGAGCCTGTCTCTTTAGCAATGTATATCTTTACGTGAAGTCTTTGTCTAGGTACAGTCTGATACTTTCAAGGAACCTGGGGAAAAATCTGCATGTAAGAAGCTTTATTCATTTGTTTGTTTGTTTATGCTTTTGCAGATTGGTATGGTAGCTTGGAAAATGACCCTTAAAAGTCCTGAATACCCGGAAGGCCGAGATATCATTGTTATTGGCAATGACATAACATACCGAATTGGGTCCTTTGGGCCCCAGGAGGATTTGCTGTTTCTCAGAGCGTCTGAGCTTGCCAGGGCAGAAGGTATCCCGCGTATCTATGTAGCAGCCAACAGTGGAGCAAGAATTGGACTGGCAGAGGAAATTCGGCATATGTTTCATGTGGCCTGGGTAGATGCTGAGGATCCTTACAAGGTACAGACTAAAAAAGTACAATACTTCAAGACACTATATGGTATGCACGTTTGTGTGTACGTGTGTAGAAAGGTCGAGGAGAGGTAGGGGGATAAATTCAAAAGACAGCGCTTGAGGTGAAAATTAAATATAATCAAAATTATGGAAATTCCTTAAGAAGGAGTTAGTTCCTTCATGTCAGAGACAAATTGTCTCTCAATGTGTTCGCCTGGTTTTTCCTCCAGCTTTGAAACAGAATGCTGTTTTTTTTGGTTGATCTCCCCTTTAGCGTACTAGATGAACTAGTAGGTATGCATTTAGCATGGGCCATGCTAAACCAGAAATACCTATCTTTAAACCCTTTCATTGTGGTTTCTGGAATTTATGGCCAGTCACCAGCCAAATCCCTTATATCCTCAGCTTCTGTGGTTATTCTCCAACTTTCTTGCTGTACTTGAAACCTTTCTCTTCCCTAAGAACACTACTTCCCCTATAGCTCTCTTAAGTGATGACTGATATTTCTCTTTTTCTTGTACCACTGATCCTGCAGGTAGAATAGTGTATTCCTTGTTCCTCACTGCTGCTTCCGGGTCCTTTTTCTTCACTTCTCTCTGAGTGTCCGCATCTCATGCCACACCACCTCATGGCACACTGCTACTGTTCCTTATTATAGTATTTGGTCACTCTCTCTCATTCTTCGCATATTTTAGTTCCTAGTTCACTGCCACTCTCTCCAATACTACTGTTCCTGTTATAATTCTTGGTGATTGCTATGTCCACATAGATGATCCTTTTCATAACCAGACCTCTTGGATCCTTGACTTCCTTTCCTCTAATGGTTGTGTCCTCCACCCTACTTCAGTCTCTCATTCCCTGTAATCTCACTTCCAAGCATCCCATTCTTTGCCACCCTCCCATTCTATCTGTCTAGCTCACTCTCTCTAGTACCCCAAATCCAGCAATCCTTTCAACCTACCAGAACCTACAACTATTGATCCTACCACTTTTCCTCTGTCCTTTACTTGTATCTTATAACCTCATTTCATTCTTTCTCAGCTGAAATTCCAAGGGCAATCTATGTTAATCATTATATTTATACAGTAATCACTATCTTTCCTACACCCTCAACTTTTTTGCTTCTCTCTTTATTCAGTTTATTCTGTGCCTTTATAAAAACTTTGTTTTAAGAACAAGAGAGAAATATAAATCCCAAAAAGAGATGGTATAAAATATACAAGGAGCTGTATTTCATAGTCTCTAAAAGTAATTAATTATAAGCTTCATCATTATTTTATCTACATTTAATAAAGAAAAAAACACTGCCCATTAAAACTGTTAGAATACTTAAAAAAAAAATAACTTTGTTTAAATCCAACTCTCCCATGCCTGCACCGGTACAACTGAACATTGATGGAGAAAAACACAGTCCTGTTGATTGTTCTTATTTTCAAATCAAGATTACCAGCCTCCTAGATGACAATTTCACATCTTATTCTCTCTCCCCAAACCTTTAACACCATCTTCCCCCATCCTCACTCTTAGCTGATGACCTTGCTTCCCAATTCACTGAGAAAATAGAAGCAATCTGAAGAGAGCTTCCACAAGCTCCCACATATCTGCATCTGTGCCTTTATTCTCTGTCTTCTCTCCTGTACTTTGGATGAACTGCCCCTGCTTCTATCTAAGGCCAGTTTCTCCTCTTGCACACTTGATTCTCTCCCTTCTTGCCAACTTAAGGGTATTGATCAACAATTCTCCCACTTCTTTTCTTGCATCATCACTATTTCACCTCTCACCTGGATATACCTTTTAGCCTACAAACACTTCCCCGTCTAGCTACTACCCCCATCCCATTCTCTCCTTCCCTTTATAGCAAAACTTAAAAAGAGTTGTCCATTCTGGCTGTCTCTGGAAGCTATTCTCTCTTTACCTCTTGACCCCACTTCAGTTAAGCTTGAACCAGTTGCCGTGGAGTCGCGTCAGTTCCAACTCATGGCAACCCCATGTGTTTCAGAGTAGAACTGTGCTCCATGGGCTTTTCATGGTTATGACCTTTCAGAAGCAGATTACTGTGTCTTTTTTCTGACATGCCTCTGGTTGAGTTTGAACCGCCACCCTTTTGGTTAGTAACCCGGAGCTTAACCATTTGCGCCACCCAGGGACTTCCGCTTCCAAAAATGAGCCACTAAAAATCCTGTGGATCACAGTGGTCTGATCCACAACCAGTCATGGAGATGGCACAGGACCTGGCAGCATTTCAGTTCAGCTGTGCCTGGGATCACCTTGAATGGGGTTGGGGGCAGTGGGGAGCAATTTGTCAGCGGTGAATGCCAAGTTCATATCTTAACGCCTGGACTTCAGATTTATATATCCAGACTCAACATCTGTACTTAGATGTCTGCCTAAATGTAGCTTCTAATCTTCTTCTCTAAATTTGTTCTTCCCACAATCTCTCAGTAAATGGCACCTTCATTCTTAAACATCTGTCTAAATAAAAGACCTTGGAGTTATCCTTGACGTCTCTCTTTCTCTCACATCCCACATCCACTCTATCAGTAAATCATGTTATCCCTATCTTCAAAATACATCCTGAATTCACCCACTCCTAACCACTTCCACTGCTGCACATTAGTCTAAGTCACTCTCATTTCTCATCTGCATTATTGCAATAGGCTCCTGATTGGCCTTCCTGCTTCTGGCCTTGCTGCTATCCCCAGCCAAAGTCTATTCTCAACAGAAAGTGCAATGATCCAGTTAAAATATAAATCAGATCATGGCTCAAAAACATTCTCTGATCAAAACCCTTCAATGGCTTCGCAACGCACTCAAGTAAAAGCCAAAGACCATATAGTTCTCTACAAGGCCCTGCAGAGATTGAACTTCCAATACTACTCTTCCCTCTTTTCTTGCTACAGTCCCCTCTTCCCACACTCTGGTGCTACATGCCTCTTTACTCCTTGAGCCTGTTAGGCACACTCCTGCCTCAGGGCTTTTGTACTTGCTGTCCCTTCTGCCTAGAATGCTTTCCCCCCAGATATCCTCCTGTCTCATTTCCTCAGCTCCTTCAGGTCTTTACTCAAATGACACTTTCTCAGTGAGGCCTTCCCTAACTATTCTAAAATTTCAACTCTCCTATCTCCCTTTCCTATTTTATTTTTCTTCTTAGACCTTGTTCCCATGAATTTTTTACTTATTTACCTTGTATATTGTCTGCCTTCCCAACTTGAAGATAAATTCCAAAAGGCCAAGAATTTTTGTCTGCTTTGTTCATTCTTGTTTTTCCAGTGCCCTAGAACACTGCATTGCATGTAACAGGCACTCAATAAATGATATGTGTTTACCGACATACTAATAACACTCAGTGCTACAAGTCGTTCCCATCATGAGTTATGCAAGACCAGTGGCAGAGTCACGTCTCTTCTGTGTTGTGCTCACTGTGGGACGTAAAGTCATTGAGTTGAATGGTGGGCATAATTTCTCACAATATTTAAAATATTTTTCTCTTTCTACATTTTTTTGGCTGACTAATGCATTTAATTTAAACACACGTGACGTAACTCTACTTTGTGTACGAGTATGTATATGTATATATAAAAACAAATCAAATATAGAATGTTAGTGTAATTTTGAAAATGTATATATAGGAATTAGAAGTTGTTGAAAAAATCAAAAGACGTGAGTTCAGTGTTCACTGTTGGCACTGCATAGACTTCAGACTTTAATATCAAATCTCTAGTTTTATGATTCTCTCTATTCCCCACCCACTTATATTTCATTGATACTATGGACTGTGAGAGTGAAGAATGGTAATTCTCACAATTCTTTAATTTTGTATTGCTATCTTTAAAAGACATGTCAATGAAGATTAGACAATAACCCTTTAACCTTGATGAAAATGATGTAAATGGAATGTACTTGGAGTTGCAGCTACAGAGTATCTTGTTTCAAGGTCAGCCAGTCAGTGACTAGAGAAATAAGCACTTCTTTCTTTCAAAGGAGAACTGTCTATGCTAGTATCTGTTAGGCAGTAACGCTAAGGAGTGATGTGGCAATTTGAAGACAGCTTTGGAACAAGCTGCATTATGCATGCTTTGCTGTATTTCTAGCTATGTGATGATGGCAAATAATGAGTTAAAAACTATTTGTGCTTCACAGGGATACAAGTATTTATATCTGACCCCTCAAGATTATAAGAGAGTCAGTGCTCTCAACTCTGTCTATTGTGAACATGTGGAGGATGAAGGAGAATCCAGGTAGGTATATATGTATCAGAATAATTTGGCATGCACTGAAGAAAGGAGAATATGGTATTTTTTCCAACTGTTCTGCTGATCATGATGTTGAAGAGCATTGAAGATTGCTTGGTACATAATCTAGAGGTCCTAAATTTGTATCCTAACTCTACCACTTATTAGCTGAATGACGCTGTTAGTGATTGAGGTTTTTAAATTATATTTGTGATACTTAATTCATTTTAGAAAAACTGGAACATGGAAACAGCTAGGAAGAAAAAATAAAAATCAACCATAATCCTATTCTGAAGAATCACTATTATTAATGTATGTTATATTCTTACTGTCTTCTATAGACGTATTTTTTTTCTACGTAATTGGGCTCAAAAAGATAAACTCTTTTATAATTTATTCTTTTCATTAAAAAGTATTTTGGGAAAATTTTCTTCTATTCTTAAGATGTTAAAGAAGATGATGTCTAATGGCTATGTAGTATTTCATCATAATGAATATATTTAAACATTTAGATTATTTCTGATTTTTCACTATTTTACCCCTGGGCTGACTATTCTTTCATATGTAAACTTCTATTACTATCTCTGATTATTCCCTTTGAGTTAATTTCTGGAAGTAGACTTGCTGGTATATCCATTTTTAAAGTTTTTTGGTGGATAATTCCAAATTGCTGTTTCAAGACCTACGCTCTCACCAGCAGTGTAGGAGAATGCTTGTTTGCTCTCTGTTTTTCTCTACCCTTGCCAACATTGATTATTGTCAGTTAATAAAAGATGATAAAAACAGCAATAGTTATTTTAACTTAAATTATTTTGATTACCAATGAAGTTAACATTTTTATCATCTATCTGCAAGTTTTTTACAGAATGTTAATCAGTTGCTCTAATACCATTTATTGAATAATTCATACTTTCCTCATTTTTATAATAATCTTCACTCCATTACTAGGCTCTGTATTCTTTTGTTGTTGTTATTATCTATTCTTGGGCTAAAGCCACATTTTTAACTATTCTTTTGGGCAAATTTCCTCATATTTTAAATTTTTTGCCCAAATTTAATGGCTGTTTTTGCCTTTTCATATATATGGGCTCATTTTTTTTTTTTAATTCCCAAAAACATTCCGTAATGATTTTGATTGAAATAACATTAGGTTTATAATTAATTTAGGAAGGCCTGATATCTTCATAATATTAACTCTTCCCAGCAAGAAAGCCAGTATGTTTTTCCATTTATGTAAGTGTACTTTTTAAAGTTTTGTAGTTTTTTTCATATAGGTTATGCCAGAAGTTTCCAAACTTTATTGATTCATGGCACCCTACATATACCTAGTAGTTCTGTTTACTAAGTATTAGACCCAAACAACTTTATAAGTATTCATATCCTAACAATAATCATTTGAAAAAGTAATAACCTAAATTTTAAAGTATATATTTTATTTTTAAATAACTATAATTACTTACTAATGGAATGTTTGCACCTGCACAACTTCTCAAACCTTGAATGAGATTGGACATGGCCACCCTCCGCATTGATTTCTGTGCAGAACTTGCTTTCTATTACAGAAACTACTGAAAAACCAGTGTTGTAAGAACAGGCCATCATAGAAAGTAATGTAGCACTATCTAATGTTAAACTGTGAACTACCTACAGCTAGTAGTTCACATGGGATTTAACAGATATTGCATATCATAGTGTTTCTCCTAATAATTTAAAATATCTTTTACTGCTCCTGGGAGTTCACTGTGGCACCCTGGAACACCTTGATGCATAGTTTGGGTCCAGTGGGATTTTGCAAATTTTTTTGTTTATTCTTCGTTTTTTTTTTTGCCTTTTTTCCTGCTACTTTGAATGGGATATTTTTCCCCATTATATGTTTTAATTCTTTATTACTGGTATCAAAGAAATCTATTGATTTTTGTACATTGCTTTTGTTAAAGCAAATGACTTTTCTCCTTCTCATCTGCAAGGTGAAGATCAGCTAAGCTAGTATTTGTAAAGTTCTTAGCACAGTACTGGGCCCATAGTAAGCAGTCAAAAATTCTGGCTATTATTATTATCATCTGTAAAGTGGAGATGATAATACCTGTCACACTGGATTATTGTGAGGATCAAAAATGATATACATGAATGTGTTTTATTAATTGTAACACATAAAGCAAAGGTTTTTATTGTTGTTGTTAGTTGTTTGCCCTTCAGTTGGTTCCAACTTATGGCAACCCTATGTGTGCAGAGTAGAACTGCTCCATAGGGTTTTCAAGGCCGTGTGACCTTTTGGAAGCAGATCGCCAGGCCTGTCTTCCAAGGCATCTCTGGATGGGTTCGAACCACTAACCTTTTGGCTGGTAGTTGAGTGCTTAACTGTTTGTACCACCCAGGACTCCTGATTTTTATTACAAATAACATTAAATTTTAGTCCTGTGTTAAAGAATGATAGTCCTGTATGGTAGACCACCCAGGTCATTGAACAGAAAATGAGAAGTTTTTATTTTTCATATAATACAATGGGAGAAGATACCATGTGACCAGTCACAAACACCTGTGAAGCAATATGCAGTCCTTAGGAGGGAAGGATCTGCTTTACAAGGAATGCTGACAGAGCCCATGAGTATTTGTGACTGTATGGCATGTGGACCTTATAAGAAGAATACATCCTCTTGCCCCAAATTAGCATGGCTCATTAACGTCTTAGAGTAGATTAGCTTCACCTATAACATAACTCTAGAGACTAGAGCGAAAGAAAGAAATTGGGGAATTATTGGGAGAGGTTAAAAATAGAAGGACAAGGAAATTTGGGAAGCAGAGATGCAAAGCCATGGACTGACAGCAAGGGCAAAGAAAAGGAATCAATCGAAGCCTGGAAATAAAGAAGGGAGCAGAGAAATATGGGGGGTGGGGGAAGAAGTTTAAGAGCCACTATGGGATACTTATTTATTATTTCAATTTATAAAACTATGCCCAGTGCCAAGCCTTCTGGGTACACATGGAACAATAAATAATATATGCCCATCTCTACGTCCAACTTAGTTTTTTTCCTTTCTTTTATTAGTTGCATTCCCCATCTCCCATTTCCCATTATCAGCTATCACTCCTAATCCCCTGCCCAGAAGACAGATGAGTGACTCCCACTGGATCCACAGGGTGCTTTCTGGACAGCTTGGTCAGCATTTCACTTTTATACACATTCCACCTTCCCCTCCAGAGGAATATAGCCAGGAACCCTCATGTATACACTTGATATTTATGGGGGAGCAGGAATGGGAGTACAGAGTTTTGACCTTCCCTTCATCCCTGTCTTGGAAAGGGAGATGTTTTTGACCTGAGATACCAGGATGAGCATTCCCACTACCCCTCTATTTGATTTTTATTGCCGTATAACATTTTATCTAAAGTTATTGATTAATGGCTACTGCTTATTACAGAAATATGCATTGACCCTGCTTTTGAAACACTTACTCTAGAAAGCAAGAAAGGACATCTGAAATCTGAGGGCTAGCTGTGTGTCAAATCCTTTCCTGGTTGCTTTAGTTTAACTCTTCTGTCAACTCTGGGAGTAGATACTGTTATCCCCAGAGTCACACAGCTGTATGTGTCAGAGCAAGGCTTTAAACCCATTTGCTTAAAACCCTTTCGTTACTACATTTTTTCTCCTTAAATTTTTTTTTTTTTTAAATGACATGTGTTTTCAGTATTGGAATGCATGCTTTCTAATTGAATGTGTTTAAATTTTTGGTTGGTAATATGGATTTTGAGAAATATGATCTGGTAATACAAGCCATCAGTGAGGTGAGTGGCACTGTGGCACCATTGATCTGTAGTATGGCAGTATACCAATGAGAGCTATCTAAATAATTTATTGCAGGCGCCTTTTCATTAGGTTACATGGGGGACCTCTGGTTTTCCAAATATGATACAGAAAAACCAAAACAAACCCATCAGAGCTCCCTATCACACAGGAAAACCATAATTATGCTTGCAAGCCTTATCTCACAGTAATAAAGGAAAAAAAAGGCAACAGTTTACAAAACTGACACATCCAGGAAGCATCACCTAATGAATTCTCAACCTACACAGCAGCAAGGCTCCAACTCCAGACTGCTAAGCTTCATGCATTTCAAAAGGGACCCACCTTGACACTAAATGCATTAGAACTGGAATAACGCCTTACCTCTGAGGTCCAGAGGCATAAAAAGTCGCTGGTATACCATTAATCCAATGGTAACAAAAAGGTTTTAATTCTAGATTTTTCCTCTTGCTACTACACCATATTGTTTCCAGGTAAAATAGGCACTGACCTACAAAGGAAAGACTTATGAATGAGGAGAATATAAAGAAGAATATAAAGCCCTGGTGTTAAATGTAAGCTTTCAGAATGCTTTTAGCAGTATTTTGATGATGATTATTCTGGCACGGTGGTTAAAGGGCTCAGTTGTTAACCGAAAGGTCAGCAGTTCGAACCCACCAGCCACTCCGCGGGTGAAAGATGTGGTGGTCTGCTTCCATAAGGATTTACAGCCTTGGAAACCCTATGAGGCAGTTCTATTCTGTCTTTACAGGGTTGTTAGGAGTCGGAATCGACTCGATGGCATTGGGTTTTTTAGTTATTCTTCAAACGGACTGTTGTTACTGTGTTTAACCTTTATAATTTGGCATGGCTGTATCCAATAGGTACAAGATAACAGATATTATTGGGAAGGAAGATGGATTGGGAGTAGAGACTCTTCGAGGTTCTGGAATGATTGCTGGAGAAACCTCATTGGCCTATGATGAGATCATCACCATCAGCCTGGTAAATATTGCCAGAATGTGAAATTTTTGAAGAACTGGCTTTGTGACTAGGATTTATTTTTGCCCCCATCACTACTATATTTAGTCCCAAATGAGAGAATTTCTTGAAAATTGTGTATCTATAATTTTAATTATGCATGATAGTGGGAAGATAGGATAATGGAAATAATTAAATTTCCCAGAGAAACCTAGCACCTCATTTTAGCTTTTAGTTCAACTTCTTATTTCTGTAAAAATTTTACCAGCATTTTGACAGCTTGAATGTCTTTTCCTCTTACTGTTTTCCTTGCCCACACTTCAAGTGGAGATCCTAAGCATCTGTGAGATGGGCAAAAGTATAGAACTAAAGGGCCTGAATTACCCTTTAAGTGTCTACTACTTGAATCATTGAATGAATTCTGTATCTTCTTTTCTTTGATCAGGAAATTGGCTTTTAATTTGTTGTTAATCAAACAGTCTTCATAAAAAGCAATACTTATTTCTGTTAAGGTGGATTTTCCATATCTATACCTTAGTTCTTTCACCTTGGAAAGGACATAAATTTGTGATGTGTAGAATTTATTCTTTTTTTAAGGTGACATGCCGGGCCATTGGGATTGGAGCGTACCTTGTCCGGCTGGGACAGAGAACCATCCAGGTTGAGAATTCTCACTTAATTCTGACAGGAGCTGGGGCCCTCAACAAAGTAAGTTTCAAGATTTTGGGAGAAGTATGTGAAGCTGTTTAAAGATCATTGTGAATTATTAATTCAACATCTGACCGGGAGGAAGCCATTCAATCCGTGCCTTCCTCGGTCTGTTTCTTGCCTTCTCCCTCCATTTTCCCTGCCCATCCACTTGCTTCCTTTTTCATTCATTTGTTCATTTGATTCATTCAACAAATATTTTGAGTACCTACTATGTGCCAGGCACTGTTTCAGGCCTTATGGATATGTCAGTGAACAAAGTATATAAAACCTCTGTTCCAAAGAGTTTACCATTTAATGTCTCTCTGGAGAGACTGAGAATTAATTAAATACTTCTGTTCTGCTCCCCTCTCCCCTTTGTCTCATCTGTGAGTAAGGAATCTGATGTGATCTGTTCACACATGTGGAGCTGAATCTGATTCCAGTCGTACTAGTTCCCATTTCAGAGCTACAAACATGGATTAGACACTGGCCTAGATGTTGAGGATAGCAAGTTTTAATATTTTGAGACATCTGTGAACACACCTCTAAAAAGTGACACTTAGGATGGTCCCTTGTACGTAGAGTAAATACTCAGTAAATATTAAGTGGGAGGATGGATGCATGGATGGATTTCTCAGTAGAGTATGATGTAGAGATTTATCTTCCCCTCAAAAGAAGTGCTTGTGCATTTTCAGTCCAAACTCATAGGGGCGATTCCAACGAAAAGAAATGGATGCCAAGTCAATGCTTGTAAGAGTGAAAACTATCTAAGGATACCTGAATATACAAAGGACAATGCAGTTCTGACTTCTTTGCAGGCATAGGAAAATTATTTTCTCTAGAGCTGGGAATATGTAATGGAATAGTCCGGGACTGGCTGACCTTGTGCAATTTATATAACCTCTCAGCTCTTCGGCTTTCTTATCTGCAAAAGGGAGGTGATAATTTACACCTTTAAGGGATGTTGTGGAGATCAAATGGGAAAACATAAGTAACAGTAACTAGTACTTGGCACTAAGTGTTGGCTCTCATCAAAATTTCAGTTCCCTTTTCCTCTCTCACATGGTTTGGTGATTGAGCTGGTGGAAATGCATGCATGCTGAATTGTATTGGATATTGTGTTCACTAGATTTGCAGGAACTTTTTTTTATCAAGCCTTGACTTAAGGGGAAGGATAGGAACTAAGTGTCCTATCCATCATTCCCACTTAGAAAAAGTTGATACTTCCATTGGTCCCATTAACTTTTGGGAATGTCAGAAATTAGTTGTTTGATGTGATTGGCTTGCTCACTGCATTCATATGAACTCTGTATCCTCCGGGGTTGCCTTTCTCTCAAGGAAAGGCAAAGTAATGCTAACAATAGCAAACTTGGCTGTCCTCCACCCTTTTTGGAGAGTAGCCTAGAAATAAAGATTATGAACTGCCATTATTGAAGGAGATTATTGCAGTGGGAGAAACTGCTGAGAGTCTTAAATTTTTTTTAAGTTGCTCTTTTGGATACTGTCTTAGGATGAGATATTGATAAATGTTGAAGAGAATTTTAGGTACCATTATCTGTGAGGATAGCATTTAAAGAAGACACCTCTATTTCCATAATATTCCTGTACCTGGACAGAGAGCTAATTTCTGTAATGTATCTTGTTTACATGGGAGTTTCTTATTTTCCCCTAGATACTATGTAATACACAAAGAATATTACAAAAAGCAAAAGGCTTTTTTTTTTTTTTGGCCTGGAAATTTGCTAGTTTAATTTCATTTGTGCCATAAAAAAAGCATTAGGGATTTTTTCCTTAAAATTCACTGATTGAATTGTTCTGATCAAATTCATTGTATTCACTTTCTTCCTAGCCTACAGGGCTTCTTGTTAAAGGAAAAGTCTAGTTGCAGGGGAAAAGACAAGTAAAGCAGCAGTTGTAACTTAATAAAAAAATGTTCATTTCCAGAAGCAGGATCATTTTTTAGCTGAAGGGAATGATCAGTTACAGAGGTTACCTCATCCTGCTTCACTATCTTTCTGTCAGTGCCTGCTAAATATAGTCATGTTGCTGAAAGACACCCGATTTCATACAAATTCATTAAGACTGTCCTATCAGCCCGTTTGTCTATCAGGTTGAAAAAGGAAACTGTGGGATCTATGTGCTCAGAGTGCTTCCTCAGACTCACTCCTTGTGTATGTTCTGTCTTTGTGTGTGTTGATGTCTTTCTACATATCTGTTTGTCTATCTTTCTGTAGGTATCTGTCTTGCATACTCTGGGTGTGAGCAAGTCACTGTGAGTGCATATCCCTTCCTGTGTGAGCGCTGATCTCTAGGTCTCTTTGTGTCTGTATGCTTATGATAGAGCCAGCCCTCTCTTTGTCTGTGCACCTCCCTGAGTGTTCGTGTGTAAGTCTTTGTGTGTGTCTAAAACACAGCAGTGCCTCCTTCTTTTAAGTCTTGACCATTTTGCTCATCGTATGTGTGTGCCTGTGTAAAGTGGAAATGTAGGTGGTATATGCAAGCTTTTAGACTGTAAATATTTGACCCCCACCTTTTTGAGTCTTCATCCTTTATGTTAAACATTGGGGTGAAGAATAAGAAGGGGATGCAGAGAGGTTGTAGGGAAAAAAAATATTGTGTGTGCAAGTGCCGATCCCATTGACCCCTTTGAAAATTGAAATAATGATAATGCGCGTCTCCTGACTGCATCAAAGTATCAGCACATCAAAAGCCAGGAGGCATGAAATGCAAATGATAAAGTGAAAGCAGATGGATTGTGCATGATCGCCTGATGCCCAATGAATTTTAAAAGGTGCTGGTTTGCAAGGGGGAGGGCGGGATTGGTGGTGGGGGAACTGAAATAAACACGTTATCCCTGTGATTTTTTTTTTTTTTTTGTTCTTGACGCTCCCTCCTGACAATATTTTTTCACACTCGAGTGAACACCCACTCCATCTCTCTCTTCCTTTCTCCCTGTCTCTTTCTCTCTTCCCCCAGCTCCCTCCCTGCCCCCCCACCCCCAACACCTCTTACACGACTCAGGTCATGTCACTGCAGCTCCGGTGGAAATAATAAGATATAAACCACGAGGTTGTTATTTGCATAGAAATAGCATGGAGCCCCAGGCAGCAAGGGAGAAGGACACAGGGATCATTTGTCTAAAATTTTAATGAAAACTTTTGCTGAGGCTGAGTTTTTTTTAAAACTTTCTTTCTCTTTCTCCCTGCTTTTCTCTTCTGCACCGCAACCCCCCTCCCACCCCATCACTGATTTGACTTCACATGGTTCAATTTGAAGAAGAGAAGGAGTTGACACTCTACATATCATACTTCTGTAATGCAGTAACGTGTAAATTGTTTGTTCCTTTAATAGATATGAAGCTGAAGAGACACGCATTCCCAGCTTAATACATTGATGCATGCATCAAGCTTTTATGGCTACACTCCATTTCAGTGTACATGTGATGTTACCAGTCTTTAGCTGACCTGTTTTTAATTAGTTTAGACCTTCCTACTTTTTGCTTCCAAAGAGTTACTTTGTAAAGAATTTCTGTTTGTAGCTAACAGTAGTAACCAGCATATAAAATATAAATATTCTGGGAATTTCCTGGTTTTTTTTTTAAACTTAAGGTGGTTTTATTGTATATTTATACCTTTTATTCATGGGACATCATCCTTTGCCATTGCCTTTTGTTCTAAAACCAGAAAGTGCTTCCCACATTTGTACTTTTCCTTTCGTGATCTCAGTATTTGTATACTCTCTTTCTATGTCTTTCCTGCTGTTTTTATTGCATGCAGTTAGCCGTAACATATTCAAGATATTACCAAGTTGAGGAGGGATATGGTACCTGTATTTTCTTGAGTGTTTCGGAAACACATTTGACATTTGAACTAAAGGCAGTGGGCTGGTGATTAGAGGCAACTGAATGGCTTTATTTGAAACTCAAAGTGAAGAACATCTGTGTCGCTCCTTGACATCCTCTGGAGTGGGAAAGTGGTGTGATGGCCATTTTACAGATGGGAAGACTAAAACTCTAAGAGGGAAAATGACCTAAGACTTTTTTTGTTAAAAAAAAAAAATTGACAGAGACAAAATCAGAGTCAGAAATTGAACTCACATGTGTCCCTGAGTTTGATTTAAGAAGGGCTCAGTCCCCTGTGCTTAGTGTCCGTAAGGCCTGAGAAGAGAAGGTGGTCTGGTCATTTTCATTTTTGTCCAATGTTGTGAGAATGGTAGGATAAATAAGAGAAGCTTCTAAGGGCTTGCTATTTCCTATCACTCAAGGTAATAGATCTTAGGTTCCTAGCTCTGGGAACTGTAGGCTATACATGGCAGATTCTTCAAAATGCCTCCCTGAGTGGTAAGGGTAGAACCAATGGATGGGACAAACTACACTGCTTGAAGGGAGTCGTGCTGGCCTAGTAAGCCTGTGTACTTGGGGAACTGGTAAGATTGACACTTAGGGAGCTGAGATGGTTTGTAAGGTTATGAACTCCTAAGTCAAGGTGCCACTTGGACATTTGCAGTTAACTTTCAGATTTACTTCCTGTTATAAATTGAATTATGTCCTCCCCAATATATGTGTTATAAATCCTAGCCTCTGTGCCTGTGGTTATAATCCCATTTGGGAATGGATTGTCTTTGTTATGTTAATGAGACAGGATTAGTATAGGGTATGTCTTGAGTCAATCTCTTTTTAGATATAAAAGAGATTAAACAAGAAAGGAAGCAAGCAGAGATGGGGAAAGAGAAATGCCAAGCCACATGAAGATCACCCAGGACAGAAACTCAAACAGACAAGGACTTTCCTCCAGAGCTGACAGAGAAAGCCTTCCCCTAGAGCTGGCATGCTGAATTAGAACTTCTAGCTTCTTAAATTATAAGAAAATACATTTCTATTTGTGAAAACCATCCATCTGTGGTATTTCTGTTATAGAAGTACTAGATAACTAAGACAGAATTTGGTACTGGAAGAGTGAGGTGTGCTCTAACAGATACGTAGAATGTGGAAGTGGTTTTGGAACTGAACAATGGGTAGA